GCGCGCGTGCACCTGGAAATCTCCCGAACCTTCTCGGGGCAGATGGGTGGGGGGTGGCGATTGCATTCGTCATTCGGGAAAAAAGCATGGACTGTGACTATGAGAGAGGACCGAGAGGGAGTCACGAGACCAAGGCGAGCGATCGGACAGGGATGGGCAGGGGCGGAGCAGACGCACGAGAGCGCGCGGAGAAAGTGCGGGCAGTTCCACAGATGCCTGAAGCTGCAGACTTCCCCGCACCCGAAATGACAAATTCGATTCTCTTGAGCCGCCGATGCAGTGACCCACCCCCCGCATAAAACTTTACTTACAGCGGTGCGCCAAGCCGGAGGAAGGAGGAGGGCCTGGGTTCGCACCTCACTCCGCGCGATCGAGCGAATCTGCAGTTCGAGCCGAGGGAACCAGGACAACGGACGCTTCTGGAAGAGAGCCTCGAGCTGGTCTGGGAGGGTCAGGGCGGCGAGGTGGCGGAGAAGAACACGTTGAGGGTGAAGAGCTTTGAGAGGGAGAAGAGGACGGGATGCTCGGAATTCTTGAGCGTGCCGAACGCTCGACGAATAGCAACCGGATCCTGCAGCAGCCTCCGTCAAATTCGCGGCGAAGGCGGGGGGCCCCCAGAAGCGCGGCCATGGGGGGCCCACTCACAGCACGGACTATTGAGTGATGCTCGATACAGGTATCATATAACTCTGAATAGGCCTGCTGCCAACTGGAGAACGTGACAAGGCTCGCCCTCATCAACTGGGCGATTATCAACATTTTCACGCTATGCACACGCGCCCCCCCTCCCCCCTTCCGCGAGGCAACAGAAGGGAAGGTTAAATATGCTGGAGAGGTATCGCGTTTCTGGAGGGAGGCTGGAAGGGTTTGGGATTGGCCGACATATGAGAGGACGGAGAGAACCCTGGAGCAATAGAGCGCGGCCGAGACAGAAGCAGCAGCGCGTCGCCGAGAAAGCTCACGGGAGCGGGCAACATATTCTCCGGAGGGTTTAGCCCACGAGGTGTAGGGGGTGACTCCAGGACCAATCCAAACCCCCATATAGAGGACCGAGGGTGCGATCGCGAAGTCGGCCCACTCGGGCACGCTCCGCTTGAGATGCATGCGGTAGAGGGCCTCCAGCGCCTCCGTGAACGAGCCGAGCAGCGGGGCAATTTTACATTTGGCTTTTTCCAACTGGAGGTGGGCGAGGTTGGGGGCGTCAGCGAAGACAAGGTAAACCCAGTAGAGGTCAACCGTACAGTAAAGAACGGCTCCCACATCGTCCGCGCACGCTCTGGCAAGTCCCCGAGGCACAGCGGGCCCCTCGAGCACAGAGGCAAGCTTGATCAAAAAAAGGGTCGGCACCTACAGCGTAGAGCGAGCCGCTAGCTGGGGGGGGGGCCCCTGAAATATCCAGCTGGCGATCCAAAACATCAGTCCAAGCTCCCCCCCGACACAACCCGGGCACGTCACATCCCAGTAGAGGTGACAAACCAGCGCGAGAAAAGGGGGCAGGAGGACGGATCCGTTTCAAAGTCTGGATCATCCAGCGCTGCGGCATGGAAGGGGAAGCTTGACCATAGTCCAAGCTGATCAGAAGCGGGCAACGCCTTTCGGCCATGGGCGTCATGCTCGTGATTCGGCTCACAGCGTCCAACTCAATAATATTATCCCCGAAATTCCGCGTCGGAGCGAACCCCTTTGGGATCTCTGGGGGCCAGGGGGGGGGGGCATGGGTGAGGGCTCGGATCGCCATGGACGTAATGCTTGTATCGTCGCAATTTTCAAGCCCCAAAAAGCGGTGTCTCCTGGGGATCTTATAACTCCAGTCCTGGTCGTCGGGCGTCTCGGATTCCGGGATGAAGACGCCCGAGATGGCATTGAACTCGGGCAGCAGATAGTTGCCCGCGAAAATCCACTGCATGCATCCCATGGGAGATCCACTCCTGCAGGTGCGTGTTGCCAAGCCTCATGCGGAATCCTGTCGGGGCCTGGGGCGCTATGTTGGGGTTTTCGGACCAGGGAACAAAGCTGGGGAAAGGTCGGGGGGGGGGGGGGGGGGCTGCCGAGGCTGTGAACTTCGGGAAGAGCGCGACAACTCCGCCTCTGGGATGGGCAGGGGAATCGCCGGCACTGGGAGAAGCAAAAGAGAAGGAGGCACTAGACGGGAGGTGGGGGTGGTGGAGTAGATCATTCAGCTCAGGCTCAGACCCGCGGGCATCTTGCGAGGTCCGACGGAGGAATCTGACTTTCCTCGCGCGGGTGGCAGCGTCATAATGAAGAAGAGCTCTGGCGTTCCACGCCACAATTCTGAACGCGGAGGCAGAGGGGGAGAACGGGGCGGAGGAACCGTGCCACAGGGCACTCAGTGCACTTGGAACTCCACACTGTTGGACTTGGCCCCGCGATCGCCTGCTGCGCGATCGGCCCCAGCTCGGATTGCGACAGCCCCTCAGCCACAATGTTGGCGGGGGCCCAGGCAATCTCAGGCGTGCCACTCTGCGGGACTGGCTTGATTTGGATAAGTGGCCTCCAATTCGATGAAATCTCACCCTTGGCCATGTCGGTGAAAAAAGCGACGCCCAGGATGCGCTTCTTGAAGAGCACGACGAATGGACCTGCAAGCCGCCTCACGGCAGATGGTGCACATGCTCTTGTCGGGTCCGACGAAGATGTTCGTCTGCTCACCCGTCGTGGACTTGATCTTGAACTCTCGGTACATGTGGCCCGCGCCTCCACCTGGGCGTGGGACCTTGAGATGGCCGGGGGCCTGTGCCGCGCGCTTTGTCGCAAGCGCCTCCGTGCCGTTGAACATGATAACGTACTTCTTGCTCGTGGGTTCGCCCTGCACGACCCACTCGTTGCTTGAAACATATGAATATTCCAACCACCCTCGAACCGATCCTGAGACGGCTGTCGCAGTAACCAATTCTCTAGATCGTACCACCACGATACTTGCATCAATGTTTCTGTCGAAATTCGCATTGGATGGCTCGAACTGCTTGAGCGGCGGAGGGTGTTTCTTGATGATACCGAGCTCAGCCCGCAGCTCACGCATCTCTTTCTCCACCTGCGACAGACGGGTATCCTGCGCTTTCTGAGTGTGCTCCACAATGTTGATCCTGGTCTCCATGTGCTTGTGGAGCTCGGTGTATGATCTGGACAGGGTTGCCTTGAGAGAGGCCATAGATTAGTTGATACTTGCCATGTTTGAGGATACCCCGTCTGCAACTGCCGAAACACTGTCGAGCACGTGCTTGAGGCTGCCGTCGACCTGACCCTTGAAAGATTGGAACTCGTCTCGCAGACCAGCAAAGGAATACAACACAATAGGAGCAGAATCCCGCGGCGTTGGCAGAGGCGTCGATATGTCGACCATCTCTTTCCCACCACTTCGTGTACGAAGGCTGCGGCTGCCACGACCATCATCTTCGTCACGACGGCTAGCATCACGATGCACGGGTCCAGTACCTTCTTGAAAGGGGAAAGTGGGAGCAGTCTCGAAGTCTCGGATGTCCTGCGAGCTGAGGACCTGGGCGCGCTGGGGCGCGTCCACCATCGCCGCGCCCTTGCCAGGGAGCACGGGCTGACCATTTCCCTTGCCAAGCATCTCCGCCACAGGACGGGCACCCACGAGATGCGACTGGCGCCCGCAAGGGGCATGACAGCGGTTCGTGAAACGCGAGGAGGGGCGGTGGACAGAGAAAGAATTGCTCCCACAGGAGCTCACACAAAAACACCGTGGGCGAGGCAGTGGCGCCTTCCTACCCACCACGCAAAGGCTGTCCTGGCCAGCTGCCTTGACGAGATGGCAGTTTGAGCCAAAATGGCTACGGACCTCCTCCTCCTCCTCCTCCTCCTCCTCCTCTTCCTCCTCCTCCTCCTCCTCCTCCTCCTCCTCCTCCTCCTCCTCCTCCTCCTCCTCTCTCCTCTCTCCTCTCGTCTCTCTCCTCTCTCCTCTGTCCTCTCTCCTCTCTCCTCTCTCCTCTAACCCCTCCTCCTCCTCCTTCTCCTCCTCCTCCTCCTCTTCCTCCTCTTCCTCCTCCTCTTTCTCCTCCTTATCCTCCCCTTCCTCCTCCTCATCCACCTCCTCCTCATAGTATTCCTCGTATTCCTCTTATTCGTCTGTTTCTTCTTCATCCTCCTCCTCCCATGCTCCTTTGCCGCGGGCTGCCCCCCCACCAAGGCCCGCCTGTGCCCTGGCCGCTCCTAGGCCTACAACAGGTCAGATGCTCATGTCGTGTTAAAAAGCGCCGCCTGAGCCCCTCGGCAGCTAGTCTGCGCCATCCCGTGGCAACGCCCTTGGGACCTCTGATTCGATTAGGAGATCGACTACAGAAATGATGCATCCCAACATGTTGTTGCCGATAGAGTCTACGAAAGCACGTAGAGTGTTCGTAGATCTGCGAATATCATATGTATGTCTGTGGCTTCTGCGTAGATCAGCATAACGCTATGTACCCGATCTCATCCTCGACTGGTACCAACTACCCTGGCGCCAACCCGTTCTTGGCTCCTGTCACGTTCTCCGCTTGACTGACGATCAACAACGAATATCACGCGAGCTGACGTAGCGACCTTATGCGGCTGCTTACGCGGGCTGTCAGCGCGGCATGCTACTGTTTAGAAGTTGCGCTCACGCGCGACCTCACGCGAGCTGCTTGTACACGAACTTATGCGGGCACCTGGTGTACACTATCCCTTGATAGCGCAGTCGGTGCCTCTGACTCGAGTAGGAGAACGACTACATAATTGATTTACCTCGAAAGAGTTGTTTCAAATGCAATCTACGAAAATCCGTAGAGTGTTCGTAGATCTACGGGCATCCTACGTCTTCTCTTGTGGAGTCGACGAGAATTCGAATTCTGGGGTAGACACATTCTGTGGCCGACCACATACTCGACTGAAGCCAACTACCTTGGCGACACCCCTTTGGGCTCCTATCACGTTCGCCATTCCTCCTGGCGCAAGGGTACCGTAATTCAAGGACGGTCCCAGCTCCTCCTTACTCGAGGCCAAGGCCATCCTGTTCTTTGGCAGCAGCGACAAGGCCTCCCACAAGAAGCGTGGTGAACAGCACTAACACAGGCCACCCTGTGCCCCCCCTCCTCCCTCCTCCCAGTTCCTCCTCCCTTCCTCCCCTTCCGTCCTTCCTTATCGAAGAAGAATTCCTTCCTGTCGCGGCCTCAGACGTGTCGGTAGGGCGGGCCAGGGCGTTTCGCCTAAAACTTCATCACATATGGTGAGCGGGCCGTGTTTTCAAGATGTTGTTCTCACCTGAGCGCCACGCACGTTCATCTTCAGAGTTTGCGACGGTTTCGAGGATTCGTATGGGAAAAGACCCAGAAATGGTGGTCTGGTACGATTTAGGACTGTCAGGGCGCAGCAGTCACGTTGATTCGCGGTGTTGCAGTCCTAGGAACGGTGTTCAGGCCCGATTTAGTATGGCCAAGACGCAACAGTCATGCTGATCCGCGACGTTGAAGTCCCGGGAATAATGTGTCGACACCCTAAGAAGAGGGAACTTGGAGGGAGGGCATATTGCAACATCGTTGATGCATCTTGGGTTTACACTGGTCCTCCTTCCTCCTCCTCCTCCTCCTCTTCCTCCCCCTCCTCCTCCTCCTCCTCCTCCTCCTCCTCCTCCTCCTCCTCCTCCTCGCGCGCGCTCCCTCGCGCGCGTTGAAGTTCCTAGGAGGTTCCTGGGTGTCTCCTGAAGCATCCAGCGACATCTGGAGACCGCTGGGGGGATGAGGGGGGGGGAGGGGAAGCGAGGGGAGAGGGAGAGGAGGACAGAGAAAAGCCATGAGAAAGCAATGCGGGCGCGGCTCTCGCCTGACCGGTCTGCTTCATCTTGTGGAGGACCTTCGTCAAGTCCGAGCACAGGAGGTTCGCGTTCGCCTCGGAATAAAACCGGGGGGAGGACTTTTGTTTTCCTCATCCTGCGATGTGGGTGCGGCTTCAGAGTTCCGCACCAAGTGTCAGCGGGGGGCTAGGGGTGGACCTGACCACCCCAGGATCCGGGGGGGCGGGAGGGTGAGACCTGAGGGGGGGAAGGGGAGGGGCGGGGAGGGGGCGAGGGGGGAGGAGGGGGGGGGGCGAGGAGGAAGGGAAGGATGACTTGTCGAGAAGCTCATGAGGTTTCGGGTGGTGTGGAACGACTCCGATGCGCTCCTCGGGGGTTCTTTACGGGTGGGGGGCGGAGAGGAGGGGGGAAGAATATCGCTAGGGAGTATCGCGGTCGAACGAGCAACCAGGAGACGCAAGCACCCCGAGGATCTCGCAGCCGAATTTCGCCGTGGGGGAGGGGAAGATGGATGATGAAGATGGGGAAGAGGAAGGGGGGAGATGGTGGCGTTCGTGGAATTGTCCTGAGCCCACTGGGAGGCCCTGTGGGCGGCTGGTGGCCGATGGCCTAAGGTGGTGCCCCAAAATCCGCCGACCCCTTGGGGATCATCGGCGTGTGAGATGCTTCCCCCTCCCCAAACCCCTCCCCCGGGAGCCTGGTCGGGTCGATTTGGAGGGGGGGGGGGTCCGGGACGAGCGATCCACGGGGCTTTTCCTGGCCCAAGAGGGCCTCCAGACGGGCCACGAAGCCCCCAAGAGGCTTCCAAGACGGCCCACGAAGGCTCCGAGACGCCAAACGACCGCTCCAAGACGCCCACGATGGCCCCAAGACGGGCCAAGAGGTCTCCAAGACGGCTTGAGGTCCCAAATGAGCTTCCCAAGAGGGCCCAAAGAGTCTAAAATTGCTGATTTTCCAGAGTGTTTTTCGATGTTTTTTCCTGTTCCGCCTTTCCGGCTTCCCGACGCTCCAAGACGCGCGACGAGGCCCCAAAGATAGCCCCAAGATGGCCCAAGAGTCCCCCAAGATGGCCTCCAGACGGCCCAAGACGGCCCCAAGACGGCCCAAGAGGTCCCCAAGACGGCCCAAGAGGGCCGATTTGAAGGGGGGGGGGTCCGGGACGAGCGATCCACGGGGCTTTTCCTGGCCCAAGAGGGCCTCAAGACGGGCCACGAAGCCCCCAAGAGGCTTCCAAGACGGCCCACGAAGGCTCCGAGACGCCAAACGACCGCTCCAAGACGCCCACGATGGCCCCAAGACGGTCCAAGAGGTCTCCAAGACGGCCTTGAGGTCCCAAATGAGCTTCCCAAGAAGGCCCAAAGAGTCTAAAATTGCTGATTTTCCAGAGTGTTTTTCGATGTTTTTTGCTTTTCCGCCTTTCCGGCTTCCCGACGCTCCAAGACGCGCGAAGAGGCCCCAAAGATAGCCCCAAGATGGCCCAAGACTCCCCCAAGACGGCCTCCAGACGGCCCAAGACGGCCCCAAGACGGCCCAAGAGGTCCCCAAGACGGCCCAAGAGGGCCGATTTGGAGGGGGGGGGGGTCCGGGACGAGCGATCCACGGAGCTTTTCCTGGCCCAAGAGGGCCTCAAGACGGGCCACGAAGCCCCCAAGAGGCTTCCAAGACGGCCCACGAAGGCTCCGAGACGCCAAACGACCGCTCCAAGACGCCCACGATGGCCCCAAGACGGGCCAAGAGGTCTCCAAGACGGCCTTGAGGTCCCAAATGAGCTTCCCAAGAAGGCCCAAAGAGTCTAAATTGCTGATTTTCCAGAGTGTTTTTCGATGTTTTTTCTTTTCCGCCTTTCCGGCTTCCCGACGCTCCAAGACGCGCGAAGAGGCCCCAAAGATAGCCCCAAGATGGCCCAAGAGTCCCCCAAGACGGCCTCCAGACGGCCCAAGACGGCCCCAAGACGGCCCAAGAGGTCCCCAAGACGGCCCAAGAGGGCCGATTTGGAGGGGGGGAGGGGTCCGGGACGAGCGATCCACGGGGCTTTTCCTGGCCCAAGAGGGCCTCAAGACGGGCCACGAAGCCCCCAAGAGGCCTCCAAGACGGCCCACGAAGGCTCCGAGACGCCAAACGACCGCTCCAAGACGCCCACGATGGCCCCAAGACGGGCCAAGAGGTCTCCAAGACAGCCTTGAGGTCCCAAATGAGCTTCCCAAGAGGGCCCAAAGAGTCTAAAATTGCTGATTTTCCAAAGTGTTTTTCGATGTTTTTTGCTTTTCCGCCTTTCCGGCTTCCCGACGCTCCAAAACAGGCAAAGAGGCCCCAAAGATAGCCCCAAGATGGCCCAAGAGTCCCCCAAGACGGCCTCCAGACGGCCCAAGACGGCCCCAAGACGGCCCAAGAGGTCACCAAAACGGCCCAAGAGGGCCGATTTGGAGGGGGGAGGGGGCCGGGACGAGCGATCCACGGGGCTTTTCCTGGCCCAAGAGGGCCTCAAGACGGGCCACGAAGCCCCCAAGAGGCTTCCAAGACGGCCCACGAAGGCTCCGAGACGCCAAACGACCGCTCCAAGACGCCCACGATGGCCCCAAGACGGGCCAAGAGGTCTCCAAGACGGCTTGAGGTCCCAAATGAGCTTCCCAAGAGGGCCCAAAGAGTCTAAAATTGCTGATTTTCCATAGTGTTTTTCGATGTTTTTTCCTGTTCCGCCTTTCCGGCTTCCCGACGCTCCAAGACGCGCGACGAGGCCCCAAAGATAGCCCCAAGATGGCCCAAGAGTCCCCCAAGATGGCCTCCAGACGGCCCAAGACGGCCCCAAGACGGCCCAAGAGGTCCCCAAGACGGCCCAAGAGGGCCGATTTGAAGGGGGGGGGGGTCCGGGACGAGCGATCCACGGGGCTTTTCCTGGCCCAAGAGGGCCTCAAGACGGGCCACGAAGCCCCCAAGAGGCTTCCAAGACGGCCCACGAAGGCTCCGAGACGCCAAACGACCGCTCCAAGACGCCCACGATGGCCCCAAGACGGTCCAAGAGGTCTCCAAGACGGCCTTGAGGTCCCAAATGAGCTTCCCAAGAAGGCCCAAAGAGTCTAAAATTGCTGATTTTCCAAAGTGTTTTTATGTTTTTTGCTTTTCCGCCTTTCCGGCTTCCCGACGCTCCAAGACGCGCGAAGAGGCCCCAAAGATAGCCCCAAGATGGCCCAAGACTCCCCCAAGACGGCCTCCAGACGGCCCAAGACGGCCCCAAGACGGCCCAAGAGGTCCCCAAGACGGCCCAAGAGGGCCGATTTGGAGGGGGGGGGGTCCGGGACGAGCGATCCACGGAGCTTTTCCTGGCCCAAGAGGGCCTCAAGACGGGCCACGAAGCCCCCAAGAGGCTTCCAAGACGGCCCACGAAGGCTCCGAGACGCCAAACGACCGCTCCAAGACGCCCACGATGGCCCCAAGACGGGCCAAGAGGTCTCCAAGACGGCCTTGAGGTCCCAAATGAGCTTCCCAAGAAGGCCCAAAGAGTCTAAAATTGCTGATTTTCCAAAGTGTTTTTCGATGTTTTTTCCTTTTCCGCCTTTCCGGCTTCCCGACGCTCCAAGACGCGCGAAGAGGCCCCAAAGATAGCCCCAAGATGGCCCAAGAGTCCCCCAAGACGGCCTCCAGACAGCCCAAGACGGCCCCAAGACGGCCCAAGAGGTCCCCAAGACGGCCCAAGAGAGCCGATTTGGAGGTGGGGAGGGGTCCGGGACGAGCGATCCACGGGGCTTTTCCTGGCCCAAGAGGGCCTCAAGACGGGCCACGAAGCCCCCAAGAGGCCTCCAAGACGGCCCACGAAGGCTCCGAGACGCCAAACGACCGCTCCAAGACGCCCACGATGGCCCCAAGACGGGCCAAGAGGTCTCCAAGACGGGAGGTCCCAAACAAGAGGGCCCCAAGAGTCTACAATTGTTGATTTTCCATGGTGTTTCTCGATGTTTTTTGCTTTTCCGCCTTTTCGGCTTCCCGACGCTCCAAGACGGCCAAAGAGGCCCCATAGACAGCCCCAAGATGGCCCAAGAGGCCCCCAAGACGGCCTCCAGACGGCCCACGACGGCCCCAACACGGCCCAAGAGGTCCCCAAGACGGCCCAAGAAGGCTCCAAGACGGCACCAATAGGGGCCCAAGAGGGCGACCAAACATGTTGAAACTCTAGTGTTCTGCCCCCAGGAGCCCCAGGGGGCCACAAGAGTGCCCCAAGAGGCCCCCAGAGGCCCTCACGAGGCCGCCCAGACGGCCCAAGGAACCACCAAGAAGCACCCCAAAGGCTCCGAAACGGCCCCCGAGTGGCTCCAAAACTCACGGTGTCGCCGTCCGCTCGGACCTCCCCGCGGAACTGCCCGAGACCCTCTGGCGGTGGCGGCGAACAGACACCAAACAAATATCACTCGCCTTTTCACCCCTTCGCAGCTTCTACTACCCCCAGATTGGCATAAACAAGGGGTCGGCGGTGTGGCGTAAGCCTAAGAATCATCCTATCGATCCTGATGCTCACAATTCCTGGGGGTTGTAATCACGCATCCCCATGACGGAGCACTCCCCCCCGCGTCACACGCGAAGAGGGTGCTGAAAGGCCCTTCGGGATGGAATGGTTGTTGATTTGAGGCCTGCTGGGACCTCTTCTGGTTTCGTGGGGGCCTCCTGGGGTCTTCTTGGGGGCCTCTTAAGGCGTCTTGGGGGTTTGGGACTTCTGTGGGCCACATTGCTGCCAACCACGGTTGGCTACAACGAGCAAATCGCGAATTTGAGATGGCTTCGGGGAGCCTTTTAGGACCGTCTTGGGGCGATCTTGGGCCATCTTGGGGCCCTCTTGCGGCCCTGCTTGGACATGTGAGCTCTTTCGGGCCGTTTTGTTCGCTCTTAAGCCCGACAAGGCGGGTATGTGGACATCATGCCGAAACCACTGGAAATCAATGTGGTGTTTGCCTCATGCGGGCCTCCCAGAGGTACTCATGGAACCGTTTTGGGCAGACTTGGAGGCTACATTGAGTCAATTTGGCTATCTTGGAGGCCACATTGGCCGTCTAGGAAACAATCCTGGGTCATCTAAGCCGTCTTGGCAACGATATAGGACTGTCTTCGAGGCCATCTTAGACCGTGGTAGTTCTCCTCGCCCATGTCCTACTTCAACTCATACTTCTACTTCGCAGTCAACCCTGCCCCTCTTCCTCCTCCTCTTCCTCCTCCTCCTCCTCCTCCTCCTCCTCCTCCTCCTCCTCCTCTATATGATCCTCGCTTCCTCCCCCTGCTCAGAGCCCAAACACTGGGGGATGGCGCCCGACGTGTGGACGCACGCTCCGACGTGTGGACGCACGCTCCTGCTGCTGACCTTCCGCTGCTGCTCCTCCTCCGCCTGCCTTTTTGCTTCTGCGCCTCGTCCACCCTCCCAGTTGACACCCCACACACCTCAGCACGCGCCACAGCGTGAAGCAGAGAACCCCCCAGGCCAGCCACGAATGTCGCAACGAGCCGACATGCAGTAGACAGGCCCCCGTCCATCCTCCTCGCTACATTACGCGTCCAGGATTCGCGCTGCACGCGTAGCGAAGACCACGAGGCGCATCGGTGTCGAGCGTGCCTTCTCATTCTCGTCCCCATCATTGTCCTCTTGATCCCCTGTGTCGACGTCATCTACACCCTCTTGCTCCTCCTCCTCCTCCTCCTCCTCCTCCTCCTCCTATAGCCGTATACGGATCCCCCCTCCTCCTCCTCCTCCCCCCCCTCGCTCCGAGAATCTCGCAGACTGTTCGGAAACGCTCGGATATCATTGGAAACCTACGGGAGCCGTGGAAACAGAGTGGAGGAATCCAACAACCATCTCTTCTTCCTTCTCCTCCTTGTCTTGCTCCTCCTCCCGTCCTGCTCCGTCTTCCCCCTCTCCTGCCCCCTTTCCCCTCTCCTCCCGCCACTTCGTGCTCCTCCCTTTCTTCTTCGGTATGTCCTCGCATGCTCCTGTGGCGTGAAGCATCGAAGCAAATGGCCTCGCTAGTCTTCGTCGTCGTGCTGTTCGTTCGTTCGTTCGTTCGTTCGTTCGTTCGTTCGTTCGTTCGTTCTCGTCGTCGTTGTCGTCGTCGTCGTCGCCCTTTTTCTCCTCCTCCTCCTCCTCCTCCTCCTCTTCCTCCTCCTCCTCCTCCCACTCCTCCTCCTCGTTCTCCTCACCCTTCTCCTCCTCTTCGTCCTCCTCCTCTTCCTCATATTATTCCTCCTCCTTTTTCCTCTCCTTCCCTCGCCTCCTCCTCCTCGTCATTCCTCCTCCTCTTCCTCCTCCTTCCCCCTCTCGTGCGCCTGCAACTGCGCGGCGTCTTGCTCCAGAGCTGCATCCGGCTTCGCAGCGCCACGTGGCTGTTGGGGGAGCGGGGGACGGCGTGTTTTTCGCAGCCAGGCGGAGGAAGGGTTGGGAAGGGGGAAGGGAACAGGAACAGGGCCAAACACTCCGAAAGAGCCTCTTGTCTGAGTTAGCTGGCGTAGTGAATAAAAACTAGGAAACACAACCCTTTAGAAAAAGGCTCGAACTTGAGGTCGGCTTGGCTCTCGGGGCTACGCCGAAAACTAGCGCCCCCTGCCCCACCTTGGGAACGCACTGCCGGGAAGGAAGGGGAGAGGGGGCAAAAAAGGCAAGAGCATTACGGGAACAGTTGAATGACAACGGGAATCAGACATGACGACAATACGACGGACTGCCGACACCAAACCTGGCCTCGAGATCAACCTTGGAAGTGGCAAAACAACTCTGCGTCTTGGACGTGCTGAGGCTGCCCCGACGGGTGGGGGTACTCGCTGGTCGTTATAGTCGCCAAGTTCTGGAGCCGTTTCGGGGTGGCCCGGCTCGCCATCAATAGATACCTGGGGTCGGTCGTCGCGGTTTTGCCTCAACGAACAAAAAATCAAAGGAAACTTGCCTCAGGACAGCAGCGAGTGGGGCCCGCGGAGCTCTCGGCCCGCCAGTACATGGGGTGCGAGGGGGCTGAAATCCCCTCGTCCGCAACCTGGGGGACACGCCTGGTTTCGAAAGCCTGGAAGACCGAATCCTGCCGAGCAGGAAAAAGGTCACAGCTGGCACGCAAATGTTTAGCCCCCGCCCTCCTCCAAGTGGGAGTCACGCAAGGCCCTGCGCAGCTTGGGGAACAAAGGGGCAGCGCGGGGGCGCATCTCTTGGGGGGTCAAAGATCGCCTTCTCATGCACTCCACAAGAGCTTTCCACGCCTCTCGACGGATCAACACCGCCTCAGCGCCTCGCCTATCCGCGTCAGGATGATCACAGGTCGCGAACTCCTGAAGGTTCCTCCCTCAGCCAAAGAAGAGATACCATCGGCGCATTCGGTACCTAATGATATGAACCCCTCTGGCGGGGAGCGGTGATCCCCGAAACCTCCTGATGAGACGGGGCCCGCTCCACCGTGACGTTGAACTGCCCGCGATCTACGCGCGCCAGGCTCGTGGGCCCGTTGGCCGCCGGCCTTCGGTCATCGCCCTCAATCTGGCTCGCCGCCGCGCCCTCTTGATGGCATTGGTCCTAGTGGCTGCTGCAGCGACGCGTTGAAATGCAATCCTGCGCGCGCGCCGCCTGCCGCCGCTGCAATCCGCGCAATCCGCGCCGTGGTCGGCATCCCTCTCGACTGCAGTCGCTGGCACCTCTGGCGCGCAAGCCTGCCGCGATCAGATTCGCGACGAAGGGGGATGGATGCCGCCGCAACTGTCTTCGGGTAGATGGTGGGCTGGGGCCATTGCAACTGCTCGCCCACGTCGGCGCCCGCCTCGATGAGGGCGTCGACCACCCTCGCGTCTGCGCCCGCAGCGCGGATGACGGCGTCGCCCACGAAGCAGTGGCGCACCGCTGGTGGCGCTGGCGCGCGCGGCTGGGGATCGGGCCGGGGAAAGCCTTCGCGAGCCGCCCAACGCGAGGCGACCCAGCAACCACCCCACGCCCAGCAATGATAGTTTCGCCCGTTAACAATCTGCACATCGGAAACCTCGGCGCCAGAATGTTTGATACTCCAGCGACGACATGGTCGCTGGGGGCCCCTGCTGAACGCCCGCGCAACGCAACTTGGGCGCAGAAACAACATCGCGGGAGTTCCTCCAAGTCCAGGAAGAGCGTCGACGTGCTGACGTGGAGCTCTTTGCTTCGTCTGAGCATGAGCAGACTGGGGGCGCCCGCGTAGCTGATGATCCCTTGTTTGCTGCATCCCATTATTGCCCTGCCAAGCTGTCGCCCCGCTCCTCAGTGGCCGAGAACCGCAGCTGACTCCGCTACTTGGCCAGGATCAAACGGCAATTGCTCGAGGATGCGCCAGCCCCCATGGGCCTGCGGGGGCGCGGCGCCCAGCGCCGCGTAGAACTGCTCCGGCCGCGCGTCGTGGTCCTCGACGGTGTCCTACGCCTCCAGCGACTCGATCCTCGCCTGGCCGGGGGGGCGCTGACCTTCGGCGGGCCCCGCGACGTCGACGCCCGCCACCTTCTCGGCGCCGGGCCTCGGGGGGGGGGGGCGTCGAGCGCGCCGGGCTCGAGCTGGCCCCAGTCCTCTCCCCGAGCTTTGGTCTCCGCGTGGCGCGGGCCGTCGAGCGCGCTCTGGCGCGCGAATAGGAGGTCGCCCCATATCTCCCTCCATCCCCGAGCTCTGTAGCCCGCGATGTCGTCTGGGGTCGCGCGCGCGACGCGCCGGCCCGCGACCTCGTCCGCCGCGCGCGCCGCGCCCTTGGCGCGCTCGCGGGGGCCGCCGCGCGGCTGCCTCCGCGTCTTGGAGCCCCGGCCCTGGAATCCACTGCGAGGGGGCGCCAGCGCCACTCTGGTCGCCCTGTCATCGCAATGCCTCGCAATGCCAATGGGCCTCTCGCCCTGCGTGGGTTAGCCCTCCAGGCGCCAAGCTGCCGGGGGGGGGGCGGCGGGCCCTTTGGCGGGGTGGCCTGAGTGCGCACCCAATCGATCGTGGAACATCTATCGCGGCCTCGAAACCGCAGGCGGCCCACCGGTGGCACGTCGCGGTGGTCGAGGGCGCTGACCTCGAGCACTTGGGTCCACTCGCCGTACTTTGCGGGTCGCCATGCGCGGCGAGTCCGAGTTCCCGGCAAGAGGGAATGCTCGCCAGGGGGGGGGCGCCGTCGCGGCAGACCAGTTCGGCGGCCGAACATTCGTTAATCGGGGCGTCGAAGGAGGCGGGGCCCAACTGGCGCTCTGGGGCCGCCTCTTCGTGGCGCTGATGACGTCGCCAGGAAGTGCTCCTCTACCGCCTCTCGCCTCCGCTGCTTCGCGCTGGCGATGTCGCCCTGCCGATTGCTGCCCACATCAGACCGCTGAGTTGGCCCCCTGGGCGCTGGGGGCTCGGCGGCCGCCCGATGAGTTCTGTTGCCCTGCGCGCTGCGGTGCTTTGTCTGTTCTCGTCATCAAAGAGACCTGCACTCTAGCAGTGGGTTTTCCACGGGGCCTCAGACGCGACCCCATTTGTCGATGGGGAGGGGGCCCCTCGATGCCACGGCGCCGCGCCGAAGCCGGCGCAGCCGAGGCAAGCAAGTCGGCGAGAACGCGCGGAGGAGGAAGACGAGACGACAAAAACGAGGACGACGCGCGGACAAGCCGCGAGGCCGGGAAAGGCGAGAAAGACGAGGGACACGAAGAGAAACGAGAAGACCCCTGCCTTCAACGCCGCGCGGGGCCCCTCCTTGGGACGACGCAGTCGACGAGGGCGCCGGCGCCGCCGCGAGTGGCCCGGCCGCTGGCTGGGAGGGCGAGCTCGTCTCCAAGCTCGCCGAACAGGATCGAGTGCTTGCTGCGTTTTCCATTCTAATGGCTGCGGGCACCTATTTGCCGCGATCGCCTCAAGGATCTGCGAGGGCTCGACAACAGCTGGCGCTCGAACAAGGGCGCGCTCGTTGGCGCTGCGTTGTTTGAACCCTGGGGGGGGGGGGGCGCAGGGGAAAGATCGCGGCGTCCTCTATCTTCGCGCGACATGGCAGGGGGCGAAGCCGTCGAACGGATCGCGGCCGCTCTTCTGCATCTCCGTCTCGCGCCAGGGCCCGAAGCTGCGGGGCCGCGGCCCTCCTCGCGGGCGCCCGCCCTCCTCCGCGGGCGCCCGTGATAGATCGGCCGGAGCGGCGGGCGGGAAAGGCCGCGCGCTTCCACCCGCCTTGGAATAACTCTTGCTTCGCGCGCTCGGGCTCGCCCCCGTTGGCGCGGGCCCCCGCCGCGCCCCCTGCGTCGCGCGCCCCCGTTCGGCCCCGCCTCGGTTGCAGGCGCCGCCAGGCCCCCGCCGGACGCGTTCGCGAAGAGCAGCTTGGAGCTCGCGGCGGGGTCGCAGAGGGGCCGCTGCGCGCCGCCGGCGGGCCGGGGGCTCGCGGGGGCCTGCGGCCCCGCGCCCCGGGGCCGCGGGCGCAGGGGCAACGGTGGCAGACGGAGCACGCGCGCAAGAAAACTAACCGCTGGGACCGCGGCCCCCGCCAGGTTGCGGGGCCCGTCGCGAGGCGCCCCCGCTGCGGCGAAACCCTCGGCGGCCTCGGCGCCCGCGGCTTCTTCGCGCGGCGCTTCGCCAGTCGCCGTTGGCGCCGCGGGTTTCGGGGGCGGTTCTTCTTTATCATCGCGCGCCAGCCTCGCCCTCGGCAATCGGGACCTCGTCGCCGCCTGACCTCGTGGCGGGCGACGAGCGGGCGGCGCGCACCTCGGCGCAGTGGTTGCGGACGGTCCGCTGCCGCGCCTGCGATTGCTGATCTCCTCTTCGGTCGGTTTCTTGCCGACGATGCGCTCGCCGACGCCGGCGTGGCCATCTGGCGGGGCAACGCGCTGGAACTTCGCGCTGCGGCCGACAACACCTTGACTGCCTCTTCATGTTCTTTCCGGGCACTTGCCATCGCGATGGCGGATTTCTCGCGCTGCTCCTGGGCGCCGGCGAGGTCTCGTTGGGCACGGTTGACCGCGTCGGAAAACTTCGCCAGCAGCGCAATCTTCTTGTCCAAGTTGCGCGAGCTGGTTTGGACCTCGACGCGCGGGTTATTGGGCTCGAGCCTGGGCCTGGGGAGAACGGCGACACGGGGCCGCGGAAAACCGCGGCCACAGCTTTCGGACTCGTCAAATTGGCACGGTCGAGCTGGGCGCTTTCGGAAAGAAGTGGGTCGAATCTCAATCGCAATTTCTGCCCATCTGGTTTCTCACAAACATGCGGTCTTGCTCCAGGAGAAAGCTGACGTCGCATTCCTTCACGATGCGGCCCCGACGCCCTGATCCGTTTCGCAACGAGAAAAGTAAGCCGAACGACGAAACATAACCCTCCATTTCCACGCCCGCCGTGGGGCTGCCACGCTGCGGGCGCCTGCGCGACGGCGGGCGCAGTTGAAGTGATGCGAGCTCAACCAGCGCGCTGCTGAAAGGGGGGCGGCGCACAATGAAGCAACCCAAACATCTGACGCCATGTTTTTTGCGCGCCTTCCCCAAAAGGTCTGGACCTCTTCCCAGGGACCAGCTTGTCACCCGGGGTAATGTTTGACGTTCGACGGAGCGCGGCGGGGGCTCCTGGGCGCCGACATTTGCCAACGGCCTCCCGTCGCGGGCTCTTCGCGGCGCGAAAATGTCCGGGTCGTGCCGGCGCTGGGTATGCGAGAGCGCATGCCCTCATGATGCTGGAGACTTGTGTGCGCGAGTTCGATGGAGCTGGCAATCGAGCGCAAATTGGCGCCGCCACCCCACCGCGCTGCGCCCCCGCTTCGCGGCCGACCGAGAAGGAGGGATGGTGCAGACGGCAAAAAGGGAGAAAGGAAGAGGAGAAGGGATGGAGAAGAGGGGGGATGTATGTTCGAATCGTTTCGAATCGTTGGTCTACCTTGAACGGTTTGGGTGCTTTTATGTGGATTTATGATGCGCGGCGCGCTCGGGGGACATGGTGAGTTCACCAGGATGAGGAACATAAGAGGGCATGGGAGGGGGAGGAGGACCAGCGAAAACCCAAGAGCCATCAACCTCGAGCTCCCCCCCATAAGCCCCTATAGCGGAGAGTTTCCATTGCGGGAACAGCCTCGCTGGAGCGCGACAATTTCAAGTTCCTGAAGCGTGCCAAAACATTGTTCTGGCGTTTTCGACGCCACGTATCAACTTGACTGCTGCGCATTGACGATCCAGAATCGCGCCGGAACGCCATGTTTGGAACTTCGACGCCGCAAATCAACATAACTGTTGCGCCTGCGTAATCCTGAATCTTTCCACAGCGCAATACATGGTGCGCTGCTCATGGGAACGCGTTGAATTCTTGCAATGTGTGGAAAACGAACGTGCGCGGCGCTAAGGCGAGAGAAGCATTTGGAAACAGAACCGCCCTCAATCTGCGAAGCCCCCGCACATGTTGAAACCGAATGCGCGCGGCGCTTAGGCGAGACCCACATTTCGAAAACGCCCCGCCCTCAATCTGTGAAGCTCCTGCTATACTTGCAAAAAATGCGCAGCGCTAAGGCGAGAACAACACTTTGAAAACCACCCGCCCTCAGTCCGTGAAACTCCATCAAATGTGGAAAAACAAATGTACGCGGCGCTAAGGCGAGAGCCACATTATGAAAACCACCCGCCCTCAATCCGTGAAGCTCTTGCCATTTCTGACCACGAATGCGCGCGGCGCTAAAGGCGAGAACCACATTTGGAAAACCGCCCGCCCTCAATCCGCGAAGCTCTTGCCGTTTTTGAAAACGAATGCGCGCGGCGCTGCGACGAGAGCCCCATTTTGAGAACTACCCGCCCTCCAGGTGTGAAACTGTTGACGCGCTTTAAGCTTCGGGGTCATAAGTGACGGGGGGGTCCCACGCGAAACGCCCTGCCCGCCCTGCAAACTTGCCCTGGGGCGCGACAGGGGGGAGTTATCTATAAGGAGAAAGAATGGGGGAGGAGGAAGAAGGGGGGGAAGGAGGAGGAAGCGGACCACAGACATCCAAAGATGCGTAAACGGTGGCGCAATACACTTTGCCAAAAACACCCCTTTTGAACAGCCAGCGCAATCAAGACTGCCACGTTGGCGGGGGGGGGTTCTTTGCACAGGAACTGCCTTGCGTATTTCTGACGCGCAATCAAGAGTGCGAGACACGATTATACAATGTGAGGACCTGTTCACCGATATTTCCTTTTCCAGGGGCGACGATAAGGGGGCGACGGGCGAGGGGGGGGGCGTCGACCTGGAATCGGCGATGCATCGCCGATAAAGCAGCGACAGGCCCTGATAGCGAATCCCCACGCAGCCGGGCAGGTTGCGCCAATCGGACCCTCATCGGCGATGAATGGGCGATTGGGTGTCGACGAGTCGCTCCCTATGCCGATCCCCCCCGATCGCTGCCCCTGACATATATTACGAAGGACCACCCCCCTCCGTTCAACTGTTAGCAAAGCTTAAGCCTGGTGGTCATGAGCTTCGAAGAAAAATTATGACGACAACTCAATTTAAAAAGAGCCGCCAAGCATCCGTGCAGACCCACGTGCGTTCAATCCCCCAATATTTAAACTCAGTGGGATCTACAGCCGCCGTTCGATTTCGATCTCATTCCCGAAACACTGCCTGCACTTAGGGTTTCTCACTTGTGTTGTAAGGTAATTCGGCCCCAATGTCGGTCCGGCCTGGTCGTCGCCGCCCGTCGCCGCTATGCCTCGGTGTCGGTCCGGCCCGTCGCCGCCCGCCGTCGCCGTCGCCGCTCGGCCCATGGCTGTCCGGCTGGCCCGACGCCGCCCGTCACCGCGTTGCTTTGCATTTCTTTGTTTCGCATTGCTTTGCATTGCGTTGCATTTATTTGCGTTGCTTCGCGTCGCATGGCATCAGTTTGCATCGCTTTGCAATGCCGCTCAATGCTCCGCATTGCTTCAGATTGCAACGCATTGCTGTGCATTGCTCTGCATTGTTTTGAAATTGTTTCGTTGCTGTGCGCTGCTTTGCGCCACATAGATTGCGCCACGTGGATTAGTTGTTTGGTCTAAGCGCTAGGCTCCCCCTGACCCCAGGAATGCGGGGGCCCGTTTTCCTCTTGTCCTTGCCCCTGCCTCTGCCTGCTCCTCTCTCGAGCCTTTCTGGGCCAAGCTGGGGGCCGGCCTCAGGTGGCCCAGAGACCAGGGCATCCCAGAGGCCCATTCTGGGGGCCCTGAAGATCCCGGTGATCCAGGAGAGCTCACGCGCGGCCGCGCCATGCCGCTGCGCGGGGCGCCCCGCGGCTGGGGGGCGGCTGGGCTGCCGCTGCCGGCGGTGGCCGGGCGTGCGCGGGGAGGTGGTCGGCGCCGCGCGGCGCCCGGGACCCCCTGCCGCGCGCTGCTGCGGGCCGCCACACTGCTGGCCGCGGCCGCGGGCTGGCCCGCCCCGCAGGCGCCCTGGGACTACGGGCCGGCGCACTGCGACGACGACGCCGGCCCGGACCCGCGGCTGCGGAAGGGGCACCACGGGGGCCCGGTGATAGGGGGGGCCGAGGGCCCAGCGGAGTCAGGGCCTGCAGGCGAGCAAGGGTTGCTGCCGCCGGGTTCGCCCCGTCCGGCGCGCCACCCGAGCCGCCCGCCGCCCCGCCAGGGAAGGAGGCCACCCAACCCCCCACCCCGAACGGAACTTCAGACACCTCCTGGACTGGGGGGCGGGGCCTGGGCTATCCCAGCTGGGAGAACCTAGGGAGACACGCCTGGTCCTGGAAGACAGAGGGGATGGGGCGCTGGGCGCGCTCATTTGAGAACCTCAAAAGCGCTTTCTCAACCCAGCAGGACTCCGGCTGGCTGCTCTCCGACGGCGGCTGGGTCTGGAGCTACCTGACCGACATCTGCGGCGTGCCCTTGTTCGGCGCCGCCTGGCCCATCGCCGGCTGGGCCCTCGTCGCCCAGCGCTGCGCCGGCGCCCTCGCCCTGGCGGCGCACAGCCTGCGGGCCATCTTCGCGCCGTGCGCGTGGGTCTGCTGGGCCATTGGCGCAGCCGCCGGCTTCTGCCGCGCGCGCTGCTGCTGCGCGCGGAAGCCGCCGGGCGAAGCAGAGGTGGGCCGCCTTCTGCCGCCGGCGCCGCCGCAGCACGTCGCGGCAGTCTGGGCCGGCCCTGCGACGGGCCCCAGCACGACGACCTCCTCGCACCAGAGGGCTGTCCGCGCCCGCGGGACCAGCAGGAAGCCCAACGACCTCCTCGTGAAGCTCGACGGGTACGTGGCACGGATCGGGCTGGTGTTCGACGAGCCGGAGCGCGTCGGCAAGAAGGGGCCCTGGGTCCAGTGCAACAAGATCAAGGGGGCGAGTAGCAGAGCCCCCCATGGCAGAAGCTGGAGCAGGGCCAGTGGGCGCACCTGTGCCGGTGCGGAGACTGCCAGCCCAAGAAGGACGAGAAGGAGCTCCACTGCGTGGAGTACGCGGCTCTCGACTCCGCGGCCATCGTCGACATCGGTGCCCGCGCTCGGCTGACGCCCCGCCGGCTCTGCGTCCTTACGGGGCGGGCCCTCGCCGGCGGAGCCCGCCTGTTCGCCGCGAGCCTGATGTACTTCTTCTACCTAGCCTGCCGCTGCGGACGCTGCAGCCGCCGGCGACGCCGCCGCCGTGAATCGGCAGGCGCTGCGGAGCCAGGCGTAGCCGGGGGAGTGGCAGAACTCTTAGACCAGGAGCCCAAATCCGAGGTCGAGATCGAGGAGCGCCCCTGCGAGGCCGTCAAGGCAGGCGTCCTCATCAAGGGCGCGATGAGGCCCCTGGCCCCGGGCGGCTGTCGCGACGCTGCCGACGCGACCCCCGCGGCGTTGCTCTGGGAGGAAGGGCGGGCCTCAGACCTGCCGCCGCCAGCCGACGGCAAGACGACAAGTGCTCGATCGTCACCAGCTTCCACCAGGCGGTCGGATCCTCAGCGGGAGCCCCCCTCTCTGTCTCGCCCACCTTGGCGGAGAGGCCGGACGTGCAGCAGGGCGCTCAGCTCCAACCGCAGCGCCCCCCACAGGAGCGTTCGCCGGCATTCGGCGGCGGGCTGCGCGGGGCGGGAGGGGCCCCGGGGGCCAACGCCCCAGCAGTCTTGCAGAGCAGCGGCTACAGCACCCCCCCCAGGCGTGGCT